ACCCTACAATCAATGACAAAACTCCAGCGTATTGTAATTGATTAGTAAGTAATCCACAAACACTCATATTCCAAGTAATTGGAACTGGATCTTTGTTATTAATCCAAATAGCTCCAGTGTTAAAACTTAAGCAATTAAGTACCAGTTGAAATAATTAATAGTTCGTAAAGAGTGTTCCACGGAACAAATATTTAAAGGGGTTATTAAAATTCTTTTGTCCCTTTGAGTCTCCGTAGGAAATGAGAGATAACCGAGTTAAAGTAAAACCTGTTACAAAACAGGTAATTAAGGGGAAACAACTGTTACTACGTAATATATTCTCACTTCTTATCTGATAGTTTAATAGACAAAATATTATGTTCCAGTTGGACAAGATTTTAAGTTGGGAGCCACCTGTGTAAAAGCACCCAAGAAAGATGAACTATCGATCGAAACAAGTAAGCAAGCCTTAAAGACTTTGCAGATACCAAACAATAAAAGTAGCACGGTTGAAAACAAAATTAGCAGGCATGACCTAACACGATGGGCTACATAAATAATTTATTATTCATCTAGTTAATATTATTCTAAAACACACTACAAACATTTTTATTAAAAATGAACGTGTCGTAAACGTGTTTATTAATATTATTTCGTACTTATAGAAATTCAAAGTTTAATAGTAATGTAATTAATATTAAAATATATTTAGATTGAATACCCCTAAACTCCTTACAATACCTTATCAATATCCTAAACAATATCCTTAATTTTAGAAAAAAATCGTAAATTAATTTTCAGTATCATAAAGTTGTAGTCAAAATTGACAATTGCTATCTTTAATGAAAACGTTCAAACGATATAATTTTAAGTACCAATTTGCGTGTGTTGCCCCCGCAATGGAGTCACCCTGAAGTGACCGCCCCCCTTCCTCCCACAAAGCTACGCTTCTGGCCACACCCACTCGCGTTCAACACTATTTTATTGCTGTGCATTACAATATAAACCTACTGACAGGTCTTTTTTTTCAAAGCTGTCAACAAGTAAAAGTTAACATTCAACAAATTAAGAATATTGAAATTCGTTATAAAATATGATACTGCCCAAACCCTCGGCCTTTTGAGGTCAATATAACTCCCAACACGTGCTCAAACGTGTGCGCGCGCACGCCCGAGGAAAGCCGTGGAAAGGGAGGAGTTGAATCCGGGAAACAACTACTGCATCATCCACAGAATTAACACCTCAACTGAATCCACATCATGTGTGAGTACTCTAGTTTAAAGGTGACTTTTTAATTTGAATGAAAATAGTTTATTTAAAATATCTGTGTTACTAATTCCCAATAAGCACAGAAATTCAAAGGAAAGCATTCAGCCTCCGGTCATGTGAGAAGTGTCTATCGTTTCATTACATACCCAGAAAATCCGGAAAATTCCGGAAAATTCCATCCAAGGGCTGCACTGTGTGTCCACATTCTACATACTACACTACGCCATTACAAATATTCCGGAAGACTAAGTGCACTTAATTTATTGCCGTTTTATAAGAGTATTTTATTTATGTGGTTCCGTTTAGAAGTATTTCTTTTGCAACCAGTAATGTATGCTATTTTATTATTATATTTCTTTATTTTCTAAAATTAATTAATTAATCAATTTATGACTGATTTGTTCGTGCTTCCGGGAGCGTGAATAGCTGTAGCATTAGTGCTGAAAATCGTGCCTCCATCTGACATCTCAGTCGAACTGGTCAGAGGCACTGCAGTGACATCGGCTGATGCTTTGAGCCTCATCAGTCGGTAAGTGCTGTTATGGTAGTACTGGTTTCTAGATGTAGGACTTTATTACAATAAATGGTGTTACTTCCTAAATAAATTATATTACGGTATAACTCCATCAATTGTTGAATTTCAGTAATCCCCTAATACTTATAAGTAAGACGTCATGTTAACATGGTTAAGTAAAATATTTTCACTTTTAGTAAAAAAAACTTTTCAATGATTTTCATTTTAAAATTTGATGTAAGTGCGAGTGGATGACGGGATCAATACAGCACCCAACGACATCAGAAGTTGCAACGTCTCTTCCTCATCATGGCAATTTCAACTTAGTTTTATTTGTATCTGCCATTCATTTCCAAGGGGCCGTACATATACAGCGCACTGAACCTCGATGACCTCGTAAGTCCGATATTGACATTCTTCGTATTCAAAGCATATACAAATATGTGGGTTAGTAATGTGTGCATCCTCGAGATGGATGTGGCAGGTCATAATTGTTATCGAATTTCGTCGATTACACCGATCCGCGTCACGCTCTCCCAACCGAACTCCCGCTCTCGCTCTTTTTTCCCGCTCTTTTGTTCCCTTTCTCGCAGCTTCTCGCGTCTGCGAAGCCGACGCAAGTGCCGCGGGAGCGCTGCCCATTACGTCACGCCCTGCCCGTGCCCACTCACGCACCTGCGCCTGCAGCTGACCGCCGGCGCGCCTGTCACCTTCGCGGAAGCGCTCCCAGCCACGCCCCCTCGCTCC